AACTTAATGTCTGTGTTAATATTGGGTGACTTTTAGTGGCCTCCTTGGCTTAGCAATGCATGTACATGCATATGTCTTAATAAATTTTACAGGCCTAAAAACTTGAGGACTATCATAAATAGATTGCCTGTTGACCTGCAATATTAACATTAAGTTGTAAAATATAGACGAGCCCGAGCCTGCACAGACGATGATGGCGGAGTCGACGTTCCATCGCCTGACTATTTATGACTATAACGAACGAATAGCGATTACGCGGCTGTAAAACAACACAACTGCTGCTCTGCCCGATCCCCAGGAAAGGTGATCCCGCCATACGCGCCAACTACCTCGGGATCAGCCTTCTAAGCATAGGTTACAAGGTCTTACGGAGCGTATTGTGTGAAAGACTGAAGCCCACCATCAACGAACTGATTGGACCTTATCAGTGTGGCTTTCGACCTGGCAAATCCACCATAGACCAGGTATTCACAATACGCCAAATCTTGGAAAAGACGCGCGAGAATAGGATCGACACACACCATCTATTTGTCGATTTCAGAGCCGCTTTCGACAGCCGTGATGTCTGAATTTGACATGCCCGCGAAACTAACACGGCTGTGTAAAATGACGTTGAGCAATACCACTAGCTCCGTCAGAATACACCACGTTGACACCAAACGAGGCTTCAGACAATGTGACTCCCTTTCGTGTAATTTCTTTAATCTGATGTTGGAGAGGATAATAAGAGTCGCAGAATTGAACCGCTCAGGCACAATACTTTACAAGAGCGAGCAATTGTTGGCGTACTCCGGCGACATCGATATTAGCGGTAAAAACAGCTGCCACCTCTGTTCTGCCTTCTCGGGATTAAATAGAGAAGGAAAAGCGAAAGGGTCTGGTGGTGAACGAGGACCAAACGAAGTATCTCCTGTCATCACACAAACAGTCAGAGCATACGCATCTTGGTACACACGTCACTGTTGACAATCACAAGGTTGGAAAAAGTATACGACTTAAACCTCAGTTATGCAAGACTTAGACTTGACATGACTTGAAAATTGTATAACTGGCAAATGAGCAGCGCGTGTATGTAGTTACCCAAAAAAAAACTTTACTTAGAAACTTGAGGAACTATAGATTTTTGATTTCTAATTTACATTTCTAAGTGCAAAGAGAGCCGTGAGAGAATGAAGCTGCCACATAACTTTTTCGCATATTTTTAATAAAATTCCGCCATATATGCCACACAAATGTGATTTTTTGTATAAACGAAATTCATCTGGCAATCGAAAAACAAACTTTCAAATAAGGACAGAAAATAAAATAAAAACAATCACAATTTGATTCGCTTGAATACATTTATGTATTTCAATTGTAGATTTTTTTCAATTTTACCCCAAACAATTTGAACGTTTAAGATTTTGTGTGTACAAGTACAAAAACTGAGGACCAAGAAAACAAAAAAACCCAGTAGACGACACGGAGAGTAATCGGTTTTAAGTTTCTAGGTAAGTCAAGTCAAGTCTAAGTCTTTAAACAATGTTTTACCTATATAAAAAATATTATCCCTTAGGGTAATAGTGTACGGTTGTCACTTATTTTCGATTCAACACAATTTATCAAATGGAAGGTATTGTTGAGCACTTTGCTCGGAAAATATTTCCCATCAGGGTTGCTTCGCTTCTATGTAATACAAATTTTTACTTTGTTAATTTCAATCAGCATTTTTTTATGTATACACAGTATATATACACTCAAGATATGTACCATTCATTCCAGCGTATATCGGAATAGGGTTGCCACATAAATTTTGGAGTAAGAAATTTATTTAATAGATATCGAAATCCATTTTTTTTTATTTCAAAATATTTTTTAAAGCTATCCAAATCTTGAAAACTCTAAAAAGTATATGCACTACGGACGGAGCTTGGTAAACCTGGTACTTTTAATTAAATTTATAAATTATTAATAAAGGTCTCCGCTTTCAAGCATATTTCCTCCTGTCTCTCTATCTTGGAGTTATGACAAAATGTTGGCCGGCCAAAAAATCATATTACATGAGGCATTTGAAAATTTCAGATGCCGACTAGAAGATTTTGATTGAATTGATTGACGGTCACTATAGACGTGCTTTATTGCATACAGCCTTGACTGCTGATTGTACTTCACAAACTGAAATGAATTTAGCGCCAAGTTAATCCTTTGTTGTAAGTTTTCGTAAAATGTTGAAAAAACTCTATTTTTATACCTTCTTCCCACCACAAAACGCATAGATTAATAAGCACTTTTATTTTTAGAACTAGCTTAAACCGGATAATATAGTAATTTATAATGGGCACTAAACAGTTTTGTGCTGTGAAACTTTCACCATTTCAATGTAAAAATAAATAGTTTGCATGTGGTGAGAATTGCAATTTTATTAGCTTTTCATGCGTCAATGCTAAGAAGAGAAAAATAAATAGAATTTGAGAAAGTATTAGCTTGAAAATCAGTTAACGAAAAGAATTTGGGTCAGAAGTGTTGCTGGCACTTGCCAGAAATACATAAATTCTATGTGTGTGTAGCCTATGATAAAAATGCCACAGAAAGATGGTGAATGAGCAGAGAAGAAGTGGAGTATTAAAAAATTATAATATGTAATAAAAAAAAATAAATAAACAAACAAACAAGTAGTGAACACTTTCAGCCACGCAGTAGAGAGAATTTTACGCACAGCAAGTAGTAAATATTAAGCGCTGATAAGTGATAAGTGGATGCTAATCGATGACGTTGCGTCAAGTGCTATTGGAAAGAACCGTTAAGCGGTGACGAGCTGAACACGAATGCAAATACAAAGTGAGTCTCTGGATACATATACGTACATATGTAAATTAGGTCGTACCATCTTATAAGCAAAGAAAAACCAAATTCGGCCGTACACCTCTGAGTCTAAAGCAGATACGTTAAATAATTATAAGTAAAATAATTTAAATCAGCATTTCGCTCAACGGAAATTATTATTATATGATTTTTATTTTTTTTTCGATCAGAAATACTGATTACACGGTTCAACAAAATTTGGTCGTATTTTATCTAAAAAACGGGTAGAGTAGAGTCCATCAGACGAATTAGATTTCCATAAATACGTGTTTACGTCCAAATTCTATTTAAATTTTTCTTTTTTTTTGAAATTTGTCACTTTTGTCATATTTTGACAAAAAAACATTTTGTAACTTCAAATCAGCATAAAAAAATCTATAAGATGATGTCGGTCCCGTTTTCGAGATAAAATATGATACAATTTGGTTGCACCGTGTTATTTTATGATTTTTATTTTTTCTCTCAGAGATAATAATAACTATTGAGTTTTATTTTTCAAATTAAAAATGATTATTTATAAAACTGAAAAGGCCATACAGACGCAACCTACTGAAATTTTGACCTGAAAATTTTGGGACTTGATCCTTTTATTAGGGGGCCGCTACATCTGAAAAGGTTGTGTTGGAAATCACGCTGGTATTGCTTTTGAGTTTTTTTTAAAGATCATTATTCTTAAGTGAAAAAATAAGACTCAACAAAAATTATTATCGTATTTTCTGCATTCCAGTAAGAATTTTAGTTGTGCTATTATCTTTGAGCAAAAATATAAAAATTATAAAATAATCATTATTTTTGATCGAAAAAAATCAGGTAATAAAATTTCTTTTGAGCAAAAAAAATTAAATTCAAGTATTAATTTTTATTTTACAGTAGGACGTGCAAGCACAAATACGTGAGTATAGTTAAAAATGTTTTACGACGATTACAACTTGTTGATTTTTTGGTTAAAATTTAAAAAAAATTATGATTATTTTCTGTTCCTATCCTAAAGTAGTATATTTGTAGGCAATTTCGAAAAAAAAATTCTTTTGGCCGAACCTCGGGGTCGCCATTTTACATTTTTCACCATATCATTATCATTTTACTGTAGCTTCTCATAGTATGAGTTTTAGTACTTACCCAAAAGATCTTAGTTCTTATCACCCTAAGACGCCAACCCTAATGTTAGCAAACTAATGCCAAATTTCCACTAGGCATTGAAATGACAAAAAATGTATGCCATTTAAAAAAATGCCATGTGGAAATGAACTTTATGACTATTTTTTTAATGTAATGACACGATTTTTTTTAATGGCCGACTTTGTCATTTATCATTTTTGCCATTTTTGCCAAAAATTATTAAGAATTGACTAAGGAAGTATTTCGATTCGAAAGAAAATTCGATATTTTTCTTCATTAAGGAAATATTTTGATTATTCCAGCAGAACTATTAAAAAAAAAAAAGCCTTGCAAAAATACTTCAAAGTACAGCGAACTTTTTTTCTTTGTAAGCTGTTTCGGTCTAATGTCCATACTTATGTATATACTTCAATATGTAGAATATACTTACAATTGGAGCAGTAGCACAGTTGACAGCAAAAGGTAGTAAACATTTGAAGGTGTTGGTCACTACTGTAATTTTGTTGTTGTTAGCACGAGCTGTAGCAATTAGCGTCTTATAGCCAATGCTCGGTTTACCAGACTACAAATGAGCAAGTAAATGATAATTGTCAGGCCATGGCGGCCATGTGATGATTGTTCTAGATAAAAAGTAGCTGCTCTGAAATTTCAATAAGTCGATGGGCTGAATTTTCTTATGTGCATAAATATGTACGTATTTATCGGTGGTTCCTCTTTAGCATAAATTTCTACTCAAAGATCTACATAGTTTGTATTGCTTCGGAGTTTTGTTTGTTTGTGTGTGTGTGTCGGTTAACAGGACGGTGCCAAGAACGCTTGCTGTTGCACTTTAGGACAGTTAAAATTTGACATTCAGACTGATCGGTAAAAGGAAGCAACGGTACAGTGGTGCAATTAAAAATGAGTGATTTTCTGTGTGTGTAAATTACTTTTTTTTTTGAAAGCGGACTTTTCGTTAACCGAGAAAAGGGAGAAAAAAATACACCACTTCCAAATTTTGTAAAGGGAAAATTGTGAAAAAATTCAGAAAAAAACTCAAAATGCCTTGTGACACACTCAAAAACAACAAAACGTTGAAGCCCACCGTCGGATGCTTACTCTGTAGCTTCGCTTTAGTTTTTGTATTCTCAATTACGGCCTTTGCCTTCACTCAAATGCAGGACGACAAAGCGAGTGCTTTACGCTTCGCTGACGAAGCTGAAAATGAAGTAGATGCCGAAGTAGTGGAAATAATTGTGAATGAAGGAGGATCACAGTACGCTGGCCTTGGTGCAGTGAAAAAATTTCCGCAAACAAATGATACAGAAAAGCTGCTGACAACAACAATAAGACAGCAACAGCAACAGCAACACCAACACCAACACCAAAACAAACGTGAGGTGGGCACAAATGAAGATAAACAAACCGATAATAATCACACAACCATTAATCGTGGCTACTATGAAGAGCAGCGACCAGTTGTCGTACACGCTGAAAGTCTACCAACACTCGGGCGTCGACAGGACAACTTTGGTGCACCACCAACCAACTTTCAGGATCCCTACAATGAGCGGCCGGTAGCGGAGTATGAAGCGGACGAGCTAGAGGGCGCTTCAGATGACGGCGGCGGTGAAGTGGGTGTGGATCGACGTCCTTATGAACCGCAGCGTTACTATGATGATGGTGATGAAGATGAGAGTGCTGCAGGCGATAATGAATATGTTCCAAGCGAGCAACAAAGTGCAAGCGAAGGTCGTGCTGCACAAAACTCTGCTTATGATTCATACTATCGGCAATGGCATTATGCGACACCAACGCCGGTGGCAATGCAACGGCCAAATGGTGGTTGGGAAGTTGGCGATAATCGAAAGTTGCAGAATGGCGTACGGTAAGTGATGGAAAAATAAATAAAAAAAAAACGCAAATTTGAAAAAAGTAGCATATGAGTGAGAAAATGCGAGAAGCATTTGGCCCATGGGCAGTCACAAAGAATGCGCTCTGAGGTCTCCCCTCCACAAGCCAACAAAACCTGCAGTCGGTCCTAGAGAAAGCCCCATTTTCTTTGAATTATACCTTAACTAGCAGTGTCATGTCAGATAGCCAGCAAGAGTCCTAAGAAACTCCTGGCTAACTTTAAGGAGTCTTTCTAAGTTCCTCCTTGAAGGAGTTATGAATTTCTTTGATTGTCTCGTTCCTTTTGAGACTCTTCCCAAATCCTAAGCAGTTTTGCAGTGTACCCTTTAGATGTGCCGCAGAAACGCACGGGACCATGCATGCGCATTTGGATTCCCAGTTTTGCAAGACCGCCAGCCCTTTCGTTGCTTTTAATCCCTTCATGCCCAGGGATCCGCCACAGCGTTACTCTATTATGGGTTCCTAGGCTGTCCAGACGCCTTGATGTCCTTCTAAGTGAGTCTAACCGCTGAAACACAAAGCCGGCGAGAGGCGAATTTTTCGCCGCAATGTTCGCTGTAAAAATTTAAACACACTTATTTCTATTGTCGTCGCTGGCGGTAGCGGCAAAATACGATCCTTTGTGGCAATATGTTAAATATTCTCAGGTTTTTGAATCGAAATTGAAAAATACTGTATTAGTTTTTGTTAAAAACTTATAATCTTGTTGTTTGTAAAAGTTTTAATTGTTCCTTGTCTGAATTCATTGTCGCCGTAGTTGTGTTTTGCTGAGCGAAATTTTTGGACGAAAGTTGCTGTCGTCGTCGCTCTACTGGGCAAAAATTCGCGGTTCATCGGTATTGTGTTTCAACGATAAGGTCTTTAGTGCTGCCTGACTATTCGACATAATATTTATTCTGGCCCCGTTAGTCATTCTCCGAAGATATTCTCGAACACAGACTTCGATTGTGAAGACTTCCACCTGGAATGTGGTTGGGTATGACCCCCTTGACAGACTTTTTTGGCATCTTGGTTCAAGCATGCCTGTCCCAGTACTCCCCTCGTCCACCTTCGGTCCATCGGTATACCATACTTGGGACCCTTTTTTCTATAATAGATATTATTGCTTCAAAGGATAACTTCGGTAGCATCTGTGAACATGATAGCGGGATCATCCAGAAATGGCCTCCAAGTGACCCCAAAGATCCCCACTTTTCATGCTGATTACATTGGGTAGCCGTATGCCTCCCGTAGGCCTCCTTTTCAATCGGAATAGACAGCGAAGTAATGCCTGTAATCACGCCTAGGGCATCCGTTGGAAAGGTGCTTCGCCTCTTCTGAGTACTCAACTTCTGTCTCTGCCAAGATGGGTCTAGTCAAGTTGATTTTCCTTCTTTTGGCAAATGGGACAACGGTGGACTTCAGTGTATGTATTGACAATCCCTTTGCAGCACACCAGTCTTCCGTTAATCTGAGCACAGGTTGCACTCTGAAGCAAAAAGTGTCTTTATGCCCGCCAACAACGTAGATGACTATCCGTAAGCCTTGAATCCGTTGACTCTCACATAGAGGCTTATTCTTGAGAAAGTTATCCCTTATGTGAAAGTCAATAAGTTTCTCTTATGTTTTTACTAGAAAGGAGCTGAAGCTAATTGGTTTCTATGCCTTTGGGAGCTGTGTCGCGTTTTTCCCCACTTTGGGTATAAAGATCACTTTGACTTCCCTCCATGTTGGTGGTATGTGAGCAAGTAAGAGACTTGCTCTCAGCAATCTGACTAGTGGCCTTTATATTAAAGCCGACCTCTGTTGTAGCAGGCATGGGTAAATGCCGTCTGGACCAGGAGATTTATATGTACTAAAGGTTGAAATGGCCAACGATGTCTTTTCCCTACTGATGATCCTTCCTGCCAGGCCTCTGGTGCTCCTGTTTGCGCACAAAGCGTTCACCATGGTTGCTGTATGACTTGAGCATTGGAGAATACATCCCGGGAAGTGGGTTTCCAATAGAAGCTTACTATTTTTTCCGCAGTGCCAGCTTAGGTACCATCTGGTCTTTTCAGAGTACATAGGACGACGTTCAGATGATCTAGTTGGAGTGCCTTCTGAAGGCGATGCACCCCTGGCCGGCAAGAAATACTTCCGCAGTGCTCAGGACACCTAGCCCTTTTAGACCTTCTGAGCTCACAGTTGTAAGCGGTTAATGCTGACTTGTCGGCGGTCCAGTCGCCTGTTGAAGTTGCCCTATTTTAGAGTTTCCTGGCTTTTTTCCTAATTTTCCCGAGAGAATCGTTCCACCAAGGGACACCCCCTTGAGACTTCTTCAAAAGCTTGTTTAAGGACGTCTTGGAACTGTCTCGCCGTGTCCTCATGCTCATAAACAAATGTATTTGGTGGCGTAGAACTATTCACTTCACGTTCTATGTAGAGGCGATTTCTTTCCCCGTTTATACGTTGCTTGAAAATGGTTTCACCGCATGCGTTTAATTTGAAACCACATTTATAAACAGAATTTTAATGCGCATTCGAAAAATGTATCGTATTCACTCGAACCGACATTTCAAAGCGTTGTGAAAACATGAATATGGTTTGAAAAAGTGCACAAACTCTTCTTGTCTAGTTTAATTCGCTTCAGTAAAAGAAAACAGCTGTTTCCATCATTACATAGTGTAGCCAGGTGCTAAAAATTACTTTTTATTTTATGATATTGTACAGTACATACATAAGGTACATACTATAAGGAAACATTTCATATGCTTACTCTAATTTATATTAGGTAGCGTTGCCACATAATCCGCTTTGAAATGCATGGTATAAACACTATACTGAAAATCGCATTCAGTTGATGTGGTTTCATTCAAACCTTCGTATAAACGAGGTATCTGTCAATATGGTTTGTTACTCTTTGGGCTTCTATATCGAATCTAATATGTCGATGGGCCGACATAGATAGTTCATTTGAGACATGCCAGTTTGAGATAAAGGTCACCAAACTAGTTGAGAAAATTATCAATTAGGTATTACAATATGGGTATCAATTGAAATGGGTTTGAAAATGCTTTACTTCCAAACGACACGTAGAAAGGATGCCACATGTTTAAAAAACTCAAATTCACTTTAATTAAGGGAATAAGGCAACTGAAATATGGGTATCAGAGAAAAGAAATAAATGAACATATTTAGCAAGAAATAATTTAAGAGTCCAGTAATTTAAAAGGAATGTAATCAGAAAAAATCGCTGAATAACAATGTATGTATTTGTAATAAAATAACAAATACGATGTCGTAAGCCTTTGGTTTGACACAATTATTATCTTAAAACTAAAATTTTAAAATTTGCCTTCACAAACAGGTGGCAACCCTCTCCGTAATATTTGCATGCTAAAACCTTCTTAAACCTCTTTCGCCTGACTCCCATATGGTGATACCCATCTATTTCAATTACCTAATTCCTTTAATTCAAATGGAATTTGATTTTTTAAACAGGTGGCAACCCTCTACAAGCACTTAAGAAATAAACCCTTTTTAACATATTCAAAAATAGAATCAAATTTTTTAACAGATGGCAACTGTTAAAAAAAATAAACCTCTATTGTCCACAGGTCAAGAGTTTTAATCTAACACTTCGTTTTTCAAAATAATTAATAAATTTTATTTCAAAGAATGTATTTTTGACATTTGTTTCTGTGAAGAGCTTAGTATAAAATTTGTCGACTTTAGTGGTTTCGTGGTGGCATATAATTTACTTTATAGGGAAATTTCTGTTTACATAATTCTTTTCAGTGGATAAATTACCTTTACAAAAATACCAAACATGTTCACATTGAAGACAACGAATTTTTCGAGTTTTTTTTTTTTTAATTTTTATTAGTGTATGAACATAGTTTGAAAAATCATTTAAAGTTACCTTTTTGTTTAGCACCTTGGCATCATCAATGTGGCAATATGAAAAGGTACTGCCACGTCAAGCAACGGCATTATTGTAATAGCAGCAGCGATAGTAATCAACATGCAACATAGTATTGCAAGCATTACAAATTTGTGGCGGCCAGCAAATGTGCTGCAAGTGCATCACGCTATTGCATTGCTTTGTTTTTGCTTTCAAATTTTACATAAACACGTCCATATTACGTACGTACGTACATACATATTTATGACCAGCTGGTGCATTATAAAGCAATTAGCAGCTGTTTTGTTGCAACCAATTTCCGCACGCACTTTGTTGCAATTGCAATATTTTTGCCAAATAGCACTAAGCTATGTATGCACAAAAAGCCAACAGCTATAAAATCGCCATCCACGCGTTTGCCTGAGCGTGTGGCACACGTTGACAACTGTGCGCCGTGGTACTTTATGCTTTTAGTTTATGCAACAATGCAAACTAATTTTAGCTGCACACAAAATTACAAATTAGATTTGTTGTTGTTTTCATAGCAACTTAACCACATTACTTTCTTCGGCTCCACTCTTACTAGATGCATAGCAGCGCTTTATTACGTACGTATGTACATACTTGCAACACAATGTTGCATGTGCGTGCGCTACCATAACCGCTTGCTTGCATGTCTGTGCTCAACGACTTTTGTTTATTATTGCAACCTCACACTTGAGTTGGCGTTGGCGTTGAAGGTGGCGCTGCTGCTGTTGTTGTTGTTGTTGTTGTTGTTGTTCGTGTTGCTATTATTTGGCATTTCTTCTCGAGTACTTCGTAACTTCTCTAAATATGTGTGTGCGTGCGCGTGTGTGCGAAAAAGGTAGGCAAATAAAAACGCACACGCACGCAATCGCTGCTACTTTGTTGTGCCCACAAATTTATGATGTGCATATGTACATGTTGCATGATTCATGAGTTGCATGTTGCTAGCCATATTGTCTTCACTTTGTTATGGTGTGAGTGTATTTCGAAGGCTGAGCGGAAGATCAACCTATCTCGGCAGCCAGTTCAAAAACGCTTTATCTCAGAAAACTTTTCAAGAACGACCTACTTCAGAATTCGGT